AGAGAGGAAGTAAAAAAACACACACACACACACACACACACACACACACACACACACACACGGGGGTGGGGGTGGGATGGGGAGTGGATACATTGAAAACCCTTCTTCTCCATTGTCCTCTTAGGATTTGGGGCACACATGCACGTGGAGTCTGGGACTCGAACTGCACAGCTGGCCGTGTAGGATCCAGCACCTTAACCACCATGCCATATGCTGGCCCCAGACCATGCAAGTGAAACAAAACAAAACAAAACCTCTTATTTTGCCTTCTAGGTTTACAGCTGTTCTGTAACCTTACACTTCCAGTCTGGGCTGTGGTATGAATCATCATTTAGGTAGGGATTTTGTTAAAGTGCAAAATCAGGGATTGGACCTGGATTTTGCCGTTAAATGAGTTCCCTAATGATACTCATATTATTACCACTTTTTTTCTTTGTTCTCTCAGACTGTAAACAATGGACGACTTTTGCTGATATTTTGTTGAAGATTTTTGCATTAACATTGAACCGAACTTTAAGAAGTTTATTTAGTTGTGTAAGAACTTAAAGGCATTTTCTGCTGGATTTAAATCCCAACCCTGGGCCAGCCCTTGACATGGTGATCAAGATGGCTTGGATCCCATATGGCTGACTGTGCACCTGAAAAACTCCATAGGCATGTGCCCAAAATCCTGAAAGGGAGAAACGGAGAAGGGATTGCAGTGTAACTGTTGTCCATGGGAGGTGTTTCTCAATTTCCCTCTCTATCTGTCTCCTTTGAGGCCGCATGGCCTCTGGCAAATAATAACAGTAGCAATAAAGCCAACCCTGGTATGGGCTGTTGGTTTTATTAGTCAAACATTGTTTGACCATCACTTTGTTTCAGGAACTTGTTCTGGAGAACAGGGATAAGTGGTGGAAAGGAAAAACATCTGCATGCTTGGGAAGCTGGCATTCAGAAGGGATGGAGGTTATGGCAGTACAAAAGAAAGAATAATGATTTTAGGTATGAGGTGGGATATGTGCTCTAAAAATAAATGTTGGGTAAATGATGGGCTATGAGGAGGTGACATTTGAGCTGAGAATGAAAGCAGGTGCTTCCTTACAAAGTTTGGGCTTTCTAGACAGGGACCAGCAAGATCCAGGCTGTCTTTGGATTGACACCTTCTTTCTTATCAGTAATGATTTTCAAAATATGTGGTATGCTTAAAAATCACCCAGAGAGGGTTATATCACTGGACTCCCACTTAGCGGACAGAGGTTCAAGTCTGTTTGCAGTCCTTTGTTGCTCTGAGTTGGCAACATTTTAAAGATGTCTTGGGAACCAGCAGTTAGCGTAATGGCTATGTCGCTGGACTCCCACGTAGTCGACCACGGTTCGCATCCCGCACCCGGTGGCTTAAAACTCACGCCGGGCGCATGTGCGTGCGTGCCCAAGATCCCGAGAGGAGAATGGAGGAGAAGGGATTGTGGTGTGGCCACCCCCCCCGGGGGGGGGTGATTTCTCGCTTTCTATCTCTCTGTCTGTCTCTGTCTGTCTGGTGAGCGCACACGCCCTATAGCTAAAAAGAAAAACAAAAAAACAAAAACAAAAAGAGTTTTCTCTAACAGTTTTATTTTTAAGTGAATAATCTCTTCTTAGATTTAAAAACATAAAAGCAAACTTCAGAAGTAAAAACTGATTTTTCTTATAATTTGATTATCTGATCAATTGCAAGTGTAGCCAACCTATAAACAGTGTTAAAGATTTCTAACAGTTGAAAGTATAGTTTTTAGTTGAAGAATATAATGTATCAGTGAAAACAAGGAAAAGAAAGTATGTGGTTTATTGCTGTCTAAGAAAATAACTCAATGAATCCCTTTCAAACCAGCATTTTGGGGG